ACGTAAATGCTTTGACAAGGTCGTAATAAGTCGTACCTATGATGTTTATTTAGCGGATATATAAGTACACCGTCTGTGTGGTACATCTCACCTATTAATCAGGGAAGTTCCCTGGCGATAATGGGAAACCTAGTTAACTCGAAGACCTGGGATGAGTTGTCCGTTGTTCGAGACATGCAGACCACAGTCAACAACTATGCTGTCAGGACCATAGTCACATAGATTTAAGCGACATATCGTGGTAGTTGAGTTTGGGTTATCGAGGTTTCTTATTAAAGGGACATTATTATGTACCCAGGATTCGTTAGTCCAGACATCTGGTAAAACGGGTACCTCCCAGATCGATACCGCCCGGATTAATCCATTAACTTCAGAGATGTTAGTCTGTCTCATAGTCCCGGAACCATATTATTTTCCCTTTCGCCTACCCCGTTCTGTATGCAAAACCCCGAAATGAAGCAAGTCTAGATTTTCCTCACGTTTAGGTTCTGATTCTCCCATCTCACTGGGGCTCCGCTTAAATGGAGTTATTTGTTTCTATCAATATTTAATTTTCAGAGACGAAGCGTTAGTCAACCGAAGTGCACACCGTCCGGATTAAGCGGGTATCCCTGTTTCGAGAAGTTTATCATCAGGTACATGCTTCAAGCCGTTGTACTGACAAGTGATGCAGGTGACGTGGCTATTGGTGCTTGGTTGATGTACAATGAACACCCTTGAACAACCGCTGTGCCCATCCTCAATAACGCCCAAACACAATGATCCGTCTTTGTTTGTTGTTTAACGCCGCACTCAGCAATGTTCCAGCTATATGACGGTGGTCTTTAAACAATCGAGTCTGGACCAGACAATCCAGTGACTGACATAATGAACATCGATCTACGCAATTGGGATACGATGACATGCATCAACCAAGTCAGCGAGCCTGACCACCCGATCCTGTTAGTCGCCTCTTACGACAAGCATAGTCGCCTTTTACGGCAAGCATTAGTCTGTCTTACAGACCCTGATACAAATATATCAACTACAGCCCATGCAAGTCTATAACGTTTGGCAAGTCTAGATTACTGCAGTATCTGAAAATGAAGAGAATCACTGGGCTCCTTTTTTATTATATTTTTATTAAGATAACTGAACAACTGTTTTTTTCTGTACGATATGTTCATTTCAGAGACTATATGTTAGTCTGGGCAAGCATGGGTTGCTAAAGACCTATTCTACCCCGGATTTTCACGGGTCGATCAGTCATTAACCAAGTCTACACCTAAACCGCTGCCTGTTCCATACAAAACATGCCAGCTGCTATAAAATCTAGTCAAAGCAAGAATGTCTCCTACCACAATTGTACATAAAAAGACCTAGTTCAAAACCAAACTGACAGGCTGTAACCATTGGAACGACGAAACCTCCACGAATCTGCAGATATGATCTCCTCTATGTTTCAATTATCTCTTTTGTAATTGTTTCCTTATAGATTGCTTAGTATTACACAATATTGTCACTCATAAGCCCCAACTGATATCATGCAGACCTGTTTAACATTCCAATCAGTGTCGTCCTTCACATTGTTATACATCACTACTGTAATCGACCTCCGTTGTAGCAATGTAGACGATATTCCGCTCAACACATGAGTCATGCACAATATATGTGTAGGTATGTATGCTTCATAAAATGACAGCTTCAGGCAACATCTGGAAAAAGGTGTCATTTTCACGATAGATAGAGCTTGTGCATTTCCAAAACGTGCGCTATTATAAATAGATAAATAAATAAATAAATAAATAAGCCCACAATAATCTGGTTATTTATTAGTCGGATATATCCTTTCTTTAGAAAATAACATCTGATCTTGGGATGTTGAATAAAGGATAATACTCAAATCGTCGAATGAGTAAATGAGTGGGCGTTTGTGTGAGTGAGTGAGTGAGTGGGCGTTTGTGTGAGTGAGTGAGTGAGTGAGCGTTTGTGTGCGCGAGTGAGTGAGTGGGCGTTTGTGTGAGTGAGTGAGTGAGTGAGCGTTTGTATGCGCGAGTGAGTGAGTGGGCGTTTGTGTGAGTGAGTGGACGTTTGTGTGCGCGAGTGAGTGAGTGGGCGTTTGTGTGCGCGAGTGAGTGAGTGGGCGTTTGTGTGCGCGAGTGAGTGAGTGGGCGTTTGTGTGCGCGAGTGAGTGAGTGGGCGTTTGTGTGCGCGAGTGAGTGAGTGGGCGTTTGTGTGCGCGAGTGAGTGAGTGGGCGTTTGTGTGCGCGAGTGAGTGAGTGGACGTTTGTGTGCGCGAGTGAGTGAGTGGGCGTTTGTATGCGCGAGTGAGTGAGTGGGCGTTTGTGTGCGCGAGTGAGTGAGTGGGCGTTTGTGTGCGCGAGTGAGTGAGTGGGCGTTTGTGTGCGCGAGTGAGTGAGTGGGCGTTTGTGTGCGCGAGTGAGTGAGTGGGCGTTTCTGTGCGCGAGTGAGTGAGTGGGCGTTTGTATGCGCGAGTGAGTGAGTGGGCGTTTGTGTGCGCGAGTGAGTGAGTGGGCGTTTGTGTGCGCGAGTGAGTGAGTGGGCGTTTGTGTGCGCGAGTGAGTGAGTGGGCGTTTGTGTGCGTGAGTGGGCGTTTGTGTGCGCGAGTGAGTGAGTGGGCGTTTGCGTGCGCGAGTGAGTGGGTATGGGAATGAGTGAGTGAGTGAGTGAGAGGGTGGGCGGAAGGTTTGGTGGGGGAGTTTACGACGCTCTCAGCAAGTGTTCCACACATAAGCGAGGGGGGCAACTATGCTTGTCGTAAGAGACGACTAATGGAATCGGGTGGTCAGGCTCGCTGACTTGGTTGATGTATGTATCCCAATTGCGTGGATCGATGCTCATTATATTAATTAACGGACTGTCTGGTCCAGACTTGATTATTTACAGACTGCCGTCTTATAGCTGGAATATTCGTGAGCGCGGCGTTAAACAACAAACAGACAAGTTCCTGCGTTAATATGCGGCAGGCGCAGGTTGATATTTTCGCCATGTATTTACTAAGCTAACAAGGGCAAAGTGGGGGCATTAAAATGTGAAATAGACTACGCCCGATGATCACACATGCAAGAAGGCTTCGAGTAGATCCGTCAGAGGACAAGTGGATCCATATGGATCCACTTATTGTGTGTGTGTGTGTGTGTGTGTGTGTGTGTGTGTGTGTGTGTGTGTGTGTGTGTAACTAGCTCTGCCCCACTATCATAATAAGGGAAATCATTTGTTTTAATTTTAGAGGGTGAAGTGTATCGTGTAATAGATTTCATCCACTATATGTTAACGGAAGGTCCGGGGTTCGATCCCCGGTCTAGTCATACCGAGAGACTTTAAAAGATGGTACTTGTTGTTTCCCTGCTCAAGTTGCTCGACATTAAGGGGCTAAAACTAGGACTGGTCGGCTCGGTGTCAGTATATTGTGCAGCATGGTATCTCAGTGGGCTAGCACTAAAAATCGGTATTATTCCGGACTAGTACAAGCAGCCACACACACGCACACACGTCGCTATACATACAAGTGAAATGATCTTGGACGCGACGTTAACCTCACTGACAGCAACAGTTAAAGCACACCCACAGAGATTGCCATTCACAATACCGCCTGGACAGGCATGGATGATTCACGACCACGGACAACGACCACGGACATAGCTGCTACACATGATACAGTGGGACACTTACAACGGCTGTTGACGCCGTTGCTGTCCATTGCATTTGTAATCAGTTGAAAACGAAACGATTTTCTATTAGCGTTGAGGGTTGGAGCAATGCTACTAATGTGAAACCTGTCAATAGGGGTCATGTAACATCCTCGTTATTCAGATGATACATGTAGGTATCTGTCACATACATTCAACCTATATACCGACCAATGAAGATCCGAGTTAGAAAAAGGTCTTCACTAACCCATGCTTGTCGTGAGAGACGACTATGCTTGTCGTAAGGGGCAAGTAACGGATCGGTGGTCAGGCTCACTGACTTGGATGATGCATGTCATCGTATGGATCGATGCTCATGACATCAATCACTGGATTGTTTGGTCCAGACTTCAGGAATATTGCTTAGTGCGGATTGAAACAACGCACAAACAATCAAGTTCCTGTGGGTATATGCTACAGGCGCAGGTTGATATTTTCGCCATGTATTGACTAAGCTATCTAGGTCAAAGAAATTGACTCTCGGGGACATCAAAAAGTGAAATAGACTACGCCCTATGATCACACATGCAAGGTAGCTCTGGTGAGAGTCCGTACGACTGAGTATGGTTTTACGCCGCTTTTAGCAATATTCCAGCAATATCACGGCGGGGGACACCAGAAATGGGCTTCACACATTGTACCCATGTCGGGAATCGAACCCGGGTCTTCGGCGTGACGAACGAACGCTTTAACCACTAGGCTACCCGACCGCCCCAGAGTCCGTAAGAGGTCATATACCTGGAATAGTGCTGAATGCGGTGTTAAACAACAAACACCTTATACCTACATGCATCCTACACTTTGTTAAAGAAATATACTAATGCCCTTTTCAAGGTACAATGTCATTGAACTCACATGCATACAAGTACCCATGTTAACAGATCTGACGTATATTTGCTATTTATGACAACCCGTGTTTCTAGTCCTGTCAGGTTAGTATTGTTACTTCAAAGATTTACAGTCTACAAACATTTACAAAATATTGCAGGTTAGGCGTTTACTAATGTATACTTTAATGTCATAACACAAGGGCTGTATGAATGATTTTGTTTGTTTGTTTGTTGCTTAACGCCGCACTCAGCAATATTCCATCTATATGACGGCGGTCTGTAAATAATCGAGTCGGGACCAGACAATCCAGTGATTGACATCATGAGCATCAGTCCACGAAATTGGGATCGATGACACGAATCAACCAAGTCAGCGAGCCTGACCACCCGATCTCGCCTTTTACGGCAAGTACGGCTTTCTGAAGACCTATTCTACCCCGGATCTTCACGGGTCGCATTAATGAAAAAGATTGAAACATACCGAAGTAAACTTCCTTTCCACAGGTTGGGCACTTGGGCATTTTGTTGCACTTGCTGTGAAGCCGACTTAAACACTCCTTTTCCTCTCAACTGCAGCGTAAATTGTGAGAATATTTAGATCCTTATTTGGAGGCTATAGATTTTGCGCACGGTATTCGTTTTGCGCACGGTATTCGTTTTGCACACGGTCACACATTTTGCAGACGGCTTGCATGTAAATACGGTTTCATTGAGCTTTCCTCCCGACAACCATGTATGGGCGGAAGGCACAGAATGTTGAATCTGCACCAATCCCTACCCTGTAATTTGGCCACATATTCTCGTGTACGAGTTTGTTTGTTATTATTATAAGTTACATGGTCCTGTGTTGTGAATAATTCAGATTAAAAAAAAAACCATTTAAAAGGCATGTTTTTCATACGACCGTGTGTATGGCTATTTTGAAGAAGGAAGTTTATGCACCTTCACCAAATTATTAAATACGTAAGCAAAAGGACGATTCATGTTAGCAGACATTGAATCATTCCGCGGATCGTTGACTTTACTGACAGCACAATAGCAACACTGTCAGCGCTGCTGCAACCACCAGCTTGTCCCACGCTGGGAGGGGCAGAGTTATTTTGAGATATGAAACTTACCAGGTCAGTGGAGGCCGAAGGAAGGACACGCCCTGGCGTTTGACGAGAGTCAGAGTAAACGGGTCCCGGCGAGGACAATATTAATTATGCCCGGACACTAAGACATTGTGATTTATCGTTTTGTGGTTCACCAACAGCTTTTTGTACGAGCTTGATTCAGTAGGTTCAAACAGAAAGTTCTCCTTTTGATAAACACCTGTATACACCCACATAAATTCATAAATACATACATATGTATATATATGTGTGTGTGTGTGTGTGTGTGTGTGTGTGTGTGTGTGACATTGACAGTGTAATTATATTTTCCATTAAGAACTATTCACGTAATGAGTGATGTGGTTTGTTTGTACATACAATTTTTGTTTGGTTTGTTTGTTGTTTAACGCCGCACTCAGCAATATTCCAGCTATATGACGGCGGTCTGTAAATAATCGAGTCTTGACCAGACAATCCAGTGATTGATATCATGAGCATCGATCCACGCATCAACCAAGTCAGCGAGCCTGACCACCCGATCCCGTTAGTCGCCTCATACGACAAGCATATTCGCCTGAGTGAGTGAGTGAGCGAAGAATATTCCACTAACATCACGGCGGGGGACATCAGAAATGGGATTCCCATATTGTACCCATGCGGGGAATCGAACCAGAGCTTCGGCGCGACGATCCAACGGTGTAGCCACTGTGCTGCTACCTCCCCCCCCCCCCCCCCCCCCCCCCCGCCCCACGTGGTGACGTTTGTTGGTTGGTTGGTTTGCCAGGAATTGTCCGAGCTGTTGGTTGGTTTGTTGTTTTACGCCGCACTCAGCAGTATTCCAGCTATATGACGGCGTTCTGTAAATAATCGAGTTAGGATCAGACAATCCTGTGATTGACATCATGAGCATCGATCCAATTGGGATAAGTTGACATTCATCGTTCACAGTCGTAAATCCAGAAGTAACTTGTCACGTTCGCAACGCAGAGATCACTTTCGGTCCGAGTGTTCTTCGAAACACCACTCTGTCACACATTTTCTACCCACAGTCAAAGTTTTGGAGATTTTAAGGCGCTTCATCCTTGGTTCTTAAGGCATAGTTCAAAGCTATTTCATTTTGTTTGTCTGTTGTTTAACGCTGTACTCAGCAAGATGATCTTAAGTGTATGTAATGCATAAAAAGCCTGTGGTTAAAACTGAAAAAAAGCTCGTTGGCCAAATTGAAAAATTGTAAAAAAGCCAGTGGGATAAATCATGCATATTAGTATCCAATCTATCAATGTTTGGATAAAACCACTATTCTCTGCAGCGGCAGTGATCATGTTAATCAATGTATACGCAGCGTCTGCTCTGGATATTACGAGGTCGTAAATGACGAACACACGGATATACAGAAGAGACTATTGCAAAATGAACAATGAGTTCGAGGGATACCTGGTCGACTCTACCGTCGTCTGTGTCAGGATGGTTTACTGTGTGTTACTTGACGTCGTTGGCAGCAGTGTTCCAACTAAACAAACCTCAATAGAGGTGGTGTCAGGTGAACGCTCCAATCAGCGCGTGGGCTTCTACATGTTCGGTACGAGAGAATGAAACATTCTGGAAATTATCTCATTTCTGTATCTCGAAACGAACAAAAAGAGGCAGTTCCGAATGAAACATGATAAAGGCCAAATATAGTTATGTTTAGGAGGTTTACAATCTGTGTGGGTTTCGTGTTAGATCGAAATTTCTGAATCGAGGTTATACTGAAATAAAATCGAATCAGCCAATACAAGTCTGCGTTTACAACAAGAAAGGATTGTTGTGAATCATTTAAAAAAGTACTGCTATAAAGCCCGTTAAAAAAAGACAGAATGTTTCACCGACTGTTGCTTTGGAAATATCGTGTAGCTACCGATCTACCTACTTGTTGTTTGAGGTATTTAAGTCACAAAGAGTTCTATTGACAATTTTACAGGAGGAAAATTCGAACAAAAACAGCAAGTAGCTATCGAATCGATGAAATGTGAAGCGAAAATGTGAAAAACTAAAATGAAAATGTCAAAAGCAAAAACGAAAATGTCAAAAATAAAAGCGAAAATGTCAAACACTAAAATGAAAATACAGAAAACTATTTCCACCGCGACGATAATATTTACACCGCGGTGATAATATTTCCTCCTCGGTGATAATATTTCAGATACGTGCAGATTCAGATACGTCATAAGTTCAGAGTCAGATACTAATGAAATAAATCATCTGTAGAACAACGAATATGTCTTGACTAAAACACTGCAACCTTCCAATACTTATCCCGATTCATAGTTTTCAACTATTCCATCATTTTGCCTAGCTAATATAAAGCAGGACATCGCTTCCCCAACAACGCATATTTCAATAAGGTACAGTAAGAGCAATATGTTGAGACCACCCCGAACTCAGTTGACATTTGCACCCGTGAGAATGCACGGGCCGGTGTGAGGTCTTCACCTCAGGTTATAAGCCGTGCCAGACAGGCATGATTGCACGAATATTTTCTAAGTTTATCATCATTTTACCTGTACAAGTATCTTTAAAGGCTAATCACGATGGCAGTTAGGATAGGACTGATTAGTAAGATTTCTGTTATTTTGACATATGCTATTTTCATAACTCTATGATTCATATTTATTTTATGAAGCCAGAAAAAAACATTTTTCTAGCATTTCCGACCGTACTTTTAGGATGTCACCCTAACGTTGCAATAATTGTATTCACTAAGCAGAATCAGCAGTAGTAGTAGCCGTAGCAGAAATTGTTGTAGTAGAAATAGTGGTTGTGTTGTTGTCTTAGGTCGTTCACAGTCGTAAATCCAGTAGTAAACTTGTCACGTTCGCAATGCCAGAGATCGCTTTGAGGTTCGAGTGTTCTACGACACACCACTCCATCACTCATTTTCTACCCACCGTCAACGTTTTGGAGATTTTATCTCCGCTTCATCCATTGTCCTAAGGGCATAGTTTATAGCTGTTTCAATTTGTTTGTTTGTTGTTTAACGCCACACTCAGCAATATTCCAGCTATATGACGGCGGCCTGTAAATAATCAAGTGTGGACCAGACAGTCCAGTAATTGACATCATGAGCATCGATCAACGCATTTGGGATACGATGACATGCATGAACCAAGTCAGCGAGCCTGACTACCCGATCTCGTCAGTTGCCTCTTACGGCAAGCATGGACGCCTTTTACGGCACGCATAGGTTGCTGAAGACCTATTCTACCCCGGATCTTCACGGTACGCAGCTATTTCAAGTTCGATATCTACGTGTTATACACGGGTAAACGTGGGTAATGTTAGATGAGTGGTTGAGTAGGGGAGGGAGGTCGGTATGGGGAGGGAGGGCTAGACTGCGACACACATTATTAAGGCGTGACACCTTAATTTGGTTCATTTAATGTTACGCGGACTTTAATCATTTTGTTGCAACCCATGGAGCTGACAGCTCAAGGATCATAATCGGGGTGGGGATTTAGCTCACCTTCAGCGGATCCTTGCATAACTAAGGGACGCAATCCTGCGCAATGATCTTCAGCGCCCTGGAACACCGGTGCTACACATGGAACTGGCTACCAATATATCAGGCCTCACGTGTTTTGTGATACTTCTCATAATGTACTATGATAAAGTTATACCTCTGGTATTGATAAGATGCAGATACAAGTTGGAAAGGCCGCAAGCCTTCCAGTCGGACGTTATACATGAATATAGAAAGAACGGCCAATTTGTTAAGCAATGGAGAAAATATCAAAACACCCTACACTCAAAATATATATGATAAAATCCTGGTTGATCTCGTTCGTGATTTACGAAACAGGAGAAAGTTTATGGTAAATTAGTTCCAATTTGAATCGTTTTGTGAGCACGGAACCTATGCTCGTGGATTTGCCAGGGTAAGGTACTCTTTAATTTTTTCCGACCTTGTCCAAGCTATTTTTGTATTATGCAGTATCATTGCCCACAAAGCACCTGACTAGGGCGACCCGTGAAGATCCGGGTAGAGAATTTGTATTCAGTGACCCATGCTTGCCGTAGGAGGCGACTAACGTACCCCAATTTCGTGATCGATTGCTCAATCGACAAAAAACATACAAACAAAAAACAAACAAACCTGTCTTGGGTTTTCTCAAGAAAGAGCTGAAATTGATAGATTTCATAAGTTTCGTAAATATAGATAAATGCATTTTCAGGATAAATCTGCCGAGGGTCAATACAATGTGTGTCAGATCTTGGATCTATGCCAAGACAAATTTGAAAACAACCACATAAAGAAAGGTTTATTTATCAACTAACCTATCAAATAATTCGAGACATTCATGTCGACAACCACCCGTTCCGTGTTTCAAGCAATCGGTTATCTGCTGGCTTGTCGTGAGAGTACCATTCCTTTTTATATTTTAATGCGCTTCAATAAGTTCTCGTAAGTCAGATTTTATTCTGTTGTTTTGGTTTGCGGATGTTTGGCTCAAATATTCACGTCGGTAGATCCATTTTTCAAAAAAAATATTTTGTATTCTCAAAATGTTAAA